AAGTCCTTATTTCCCTCTGGAACTACATTGTTCTCAGCGCTGTTTTGTTTCAGGCACCTACCAGAATGGCTGTTAAGCTCTGTTTACAGCAATCAACTGTTTTTCTAGCCCAAACTTCCAAAGTCTTCCATATTCTTCTAAAACCCCACATGGTCAGGTTTTTCATAGTTAACACCCTACTCCTGGTAACAATTACTGCATTAGTTACTTTTCTATTGCTGTTCCTAGCACCCACATGGCAGCTAAGATCCAGCACCTTCTTCTGGACTCTGTGAGCATTGCATGCACATGGTGTACTGACATTAATGCAAGCAAAACACTCATACACATAAAATAAAAATAAATAAAATTTCAAAATAATAATACCTGCTGGGCATCATGGTACATACCTTTAATCCTAACACTCAGGATGCAGAGACAGGTGGATCTCTGTGAGTTCAAGGCCAGCCTGGTCTACATAGTGAGTTCAGGCCAGCTAGTGGTACAGAGTGATCTTTCTCAAAAAGACTAAATAAATAAATAAATAAATAAATAATAAATAAATAAAATCATTTGTAATAGCATAAATATCAGTTTTCTAAAAATACACCTGATAAACCTGTATAAGACTTCAATACCTACATAAACTACAAAAGATTAGCGAGGGAACAATTAACAGATTTACATAATCAATATGTCATGTTATGTACTGGGGGGAAAAAATCTGCTTTTGTGAAATGTCCGAGTCTTTTGTCCAATTTTTACTGTTGTTTTCTAAAATTTATTATCATTATTTCATGAGCCATTAAACTCAATAAACTCAGTCATCACTGAGAAAATAAACTAAAACCACAGTACAATAATGTATAGTACTCATCATAATGACTAAAATGTTTTTTAAAAATGATAAACGTTGGCAAGGATGCAGAATGACGAATTCTCAGAAGTTGTTTAACAGGCATGAAAAACGGTACACACACTTAGAAAGGCTATTTGGCAATTTATCTTAAGTTTCATGCATACATCTGTTCTGACCTGGTTCAGACTAGATGTATGGTTAACTTTACACAACTTCCACATACTCTTTTCCAATAAAAATGAAAACAGGTGCCAAAGTAAACATCACATAGAAATCTACAAGAATCTTCTTAGCATCCTTAATTCATAATAGCCTAAAACTAGAAACATCCCAATGCCCAACAGCAGGACAGTACCCAACAGACTTTGGTAGATAAAATATCACGAGCCTCAAAAAGGAATGAACTGGGCTGGGGAAATGGCTCAGCACTTAAAGTGCTTGTGGTGCAAGGATGACAACAGGATCTTGGAACTCCTACCTACAATTCCAATTCTGTGAAGTGGAGATGGGATCCCCAGAGAAAACTGGATTGCTAGAGGAGTCACACCAATGAACTCTGGGTTTAATTGAGACATTTACTTTTTTAAGGTGGGGAGTAATGGAGAATGATTCCCATGTCACCTTCAAGCTTCTGTAAACTTTCACACATGTGGGTGGGCAATTGCATATACATGTGAACACACATACATGAATACACCCACATACATGCACATGAGTGAGAGAGAAAAAAATGAACTACTAATACATATCACAACATAATGGATCTCAATAGCATTTTATTAACCAAATAAACCAGATATAAAAATGCTGTCTATGTTTCTGTTTATATATAATCCGAGAACAAGTAAAGCTAACCTATGGTGATAAAAATCAGAAAGTGGTTGCTTCAAACAGTAGGGGAATTTCTTAGAAAAAGGCACAAGAGCAGGGTGTGGTGGTGCACATCTTTAATCCCAGTACTCAGGAGGCAGAAGCAGGTGCAGCTCTGTGAAATTGAGGCCAGCCTGCTCTACATAGCAAGTTCCAAGTTCCAGGTCATCTGGAACTAGAGGGAGAACTTGTCTCAAAAAAAAAAGAAAAAGAAGGAAGGGAGGAAGGAAGGAAGGAAGGAAGGAAGGAAGGAAGGAAGGAAGGAAGGAAGGAAGGAAGGAAGGAAAAAAAGGCATAAGAAATTCTGATAATATTCTAGATTTTGAGTCAGATAATTATATTTACAAAATAGGTAATTCTTTTTAAAATAGTATCTTTTTAAAATTTATGTTTACTTCATGTGTATGAGTGTTTTGTCTGCATGTGTGTTAAGTACACTCGTACCCACAATGCCCACAAAGGCCAGAAGAGGGCGTCAGCTCCCCTAGTACTGGAGTTAAGAACGATTGTTAGCCACCATGTGGGTGCTGGGAACCAAACCCAAGTCTTCTAGAAGAGCAGCTAGTGATCTTAATTACCCAGCCATCTCTCTAACCCCAGAATACACAATTCTCAAGATTCATTCATTGTACACCTAAACTCTGTGCATTTTGATGCATTTTTGTTATGTTTGAGCTGTGCCTTAATTTAAAAATGATTGTCAATTTTAAAAATCAAGTGAAAGAAACTCAACAGATACATCAGTTACTTGCAATTAAACAAACTTATTTGAATCCTGATTCTAGCAAACTGAAAAAAAAAGGGGGAGGGGCAGGGAAATCTGAACCCTGCTAGGAAATTAAAGAATTCACATCAACACTGAGGATACAATAATGGCACTATTATCTTTAAAAAGGAGGCTTACCGAAATACAGATGAAATTATGTAATGTTTCAAATTTATAGCAAAGCAATCTACTAGTGACAATGGAAATGAATTAAATTTGACTATGAGTTGATAGTTACTAATACACAGTGGTGGGTGTATTAAGGTTCAATGCACTGTTCTCTGTATGTTAATATTTGTTTGAAGCTTTATGTAACAAAAGAAAACAAAGCTTATAGAGAACTTGGAAGATATTAAGTTCCAATTCATTTAAACAAGTTTTATTAGCATCTGCTGTACTGTGATTATACCTGTGTCTACTATCCTGGGTACAGTAAACACATAATTGATATTCTAATCATCAAAATGTGATCTCTGGCTCTAATTAACTAAAAAGTGCTTCCAACTTGAAAGGAAAAAAAATCTTTGATTTTGTCACAGATTAAAGTCAGGGCTCAGATTATTTCCAGAACTGCACTTTAAAACACTAACATCTTTAGTTATATTTAAAATCAACAGGTAACTTATAAAGTGCATAACTCAGTTCTTAACATTTGAAATGACCCATTCCTGTGTTCAGTGATATTGACATAATCATGAGTAACATGCAAATGTCAGGAGCATATTACAAAATGGAGCTCTTCTTTGTAATGATACTGTCATAATTTATAAACCTAGGTAATAGTTACAATCGTACCTATGTTAAAAATTAAGAAAACAGAGCGTGGAGTTATTGGGTTTTCTCTGTATTGTATTTACTCCAGGAATTGCACCATATCCTTAGCCATCACAGAGTCCACTTGTCCATTCTACAAGGATGTTTTAGAGATAAATTCACTCACTTCCAACTGGTAAGAATTCAAAGGACACAGTTTTCCCATAACCTTTGAAGGTATGACTATCACAAATCTTTGCCTCAATAAGCTACCTCAGTTTCTCTTCATCTGCAAATATCAAAACCACAACACTGGGGACGGCATACACAAGGCCTGAGAAAGCCCAAGTCAAACAAAAACTGAGCATCGACAGGGAAGGAGGGCAGGAAGTCCCAGCTCTAGCCAAGGATATATTGGCAAGTGATAGCTGCCGGGAGAGGGAGAGTCGGTTTTCTTTTTAAGGGTCTTACCCTGGGCAAGTCAGCCAGGCTCTAGGGAACAGACTCATACTCAACAGCATTTGGGGAACACAAATTAAACCTGATAGGCATTTAAAAACAATAGCCAGGAGTGGTGGCGCACGCCTTTAATTCTACCACTTGGGAGGCAGAGGTAGGTGATCTCTGTGAGTCTGAGGTCAGCCTGATCTATGTAGTGAGTTCCAGGCCAGCAGGGACTACAAGGAGAATCTGTCTTAAAAAGACAAAAAAATAGTAATAATAATAATAATAATAATAATAATAATGGGGTCTGGAGAGATGGCTCAGTGGTTAAGAGCATGGGCTGCTCTTCCAGAGGACCCGTGTTAACTCCAGTTCCATAGGATCTGACACCTTCTTCTGGCCTCCATGGGCTCTGCATGACATGGTTGCACTTGCATATATGCCAGCAAAACACTCATACGTGTAAAATAAAAATTAATTAATATTTAAAAATAATAAAAACAATAATAGAGGAGCAAAGCATGGTGGTACATATCTTTAATCCCAGCACTCTGGAGGCAGAGGCAGGCAGATGTCTATGAGATCAGGGTCAGTCTGGTCTCTATAGCAAGTTTCAGATCAGTTGCAAGAGACAGTGTCTCCAAAATGAAAAAAACAAAACAGCAACAACAAAATAATAATAATAAGAGGACATGGAGTGGGGAGTAATGAGGGGGGATGGTGATGGGATCTGAATATGATCAAAATACATTCTACGAAATTTTCAAAGAATGAATAAAAATATTTTTTAAAAACAAGCAAAAAATGAATATAAGCTATTTGTTAATTGAAGTTTTTTATAAACACAACATTCACAGAGCAACCTGATAGTTCAAATCACGCAGCTACATTGCTTTTCACCATGGACCCTATTAGAAGTGGGAGAAGAAAGGACAGATTTTATGATGGATCTGAGCACAGAAACCTCTCAGGAAAGGACTCTAGGTAACTGGAGACCTAAGGGAGTACAATTGCTCAGACTATAGCGAGTAAGGGCATCGGCTCTGAAGGAACAGCGAATGCTGGTGGATATACCCCAGAGGAGCAACCACCATCAACCTACCACATCCCCAGTGAAGTCTGTCCTATTAGCCTTCAAACATTTTGGAGCTATCTATTCAAAACTCTAAAGAAGGTAGTATAAACATTAAGCCCCCACTCCGCCCCCCATAAAGCTGATGTGGTCTACTGGAAGTATTTTTCCACTCATCTACCTCCCCAAGGAGAGACTAAGGCTTAATGAAAATGAGCCCCATACTGTGAGCTACATGATTGACACTTTAAATGTACCTTGATTCAAAGCCAGGGCAGGGGCGTAAATAACAATTCCAGTATACAGAATCTACGGGGGGGAAAGAAAGCCAAATGAATTATATGAAGTATAAAATTAGTGAGTTACATATGTGATTTAAGAAATGAAATGTTGACCTTTTCCTATAAAATCAATTATGAATTAAAATATCAGTCTCAATACATTTAATCAATTATTTGTAACTTGAAAATATTATTCAAATAAAGTTGATTTTTTTATTTTCAGCTTGCAATGTGGTCAAACGTCATAACAACCTTTTGGAAGATATTTTTGTAAAAATATGGTTATAAAAATTTTCATTGATCATAAGTTCATGCTTAAGCTCAATTTTCCAAGATTTAAAATAATTAAAAACAAAGAAAGAATAAGAGTTTGGTTCCTTGATTATATGTCTTCAAATATTGCTAATCACCACTTTTTTTCCAGTGCTAAAAATAGAACCTAGAGCCTTGCTCATCCAGACAAGCAGTGTACAGCTGAGCTACAACTCCACCACTCCAATAATTAATTTTTTTCAAAGTAAAAAAATTTTAAGCTGGCTCTTATAAGTTTATATTTTCACTAATTAGACAAAAATATAGGGCCCGACATGGTGGTGCACGCCTTTAATCCCAGCACTCTGAAGGCAGATGTAGGCAGATCTCTGCGTGTTCAAGGCCAGCCTGGCCTACACAGCAAGTTTCAGGCCAGCCAAGACTATAGAGTAGATCCTGTCTCAAAAGAAAAGTAAATTTTCACTAAAAAAAAAAAATCCTGAAAGACTTCAAAAATTATAATCTATCATTTTATGCAATTATTTTCCACTTGCATACTCAACAAATATTTATCTTGAGTACAGCAGTTAAGTAAGAACAAAGATCCAATCTGTTTCTCAAAATACCAGTTACACTGCATTACACCTTTCAAATATATGCTACAGCGGCTTATTCTAAGAACACTCCATAAGACCATATCACAATAAAAACATATTAGTTGAATGTGTGATTATCCTGCACGAATAGATACATGGAAGCAAGTCCTTCTAATGGGACACGCTAAAGCTTCCCTCTTTTTTGAGAAAAAAAAAAAAAGATGAACTAGCTTTCTGCAGTCATTATTCTATCCAAATTGAAGATTCCAAACATGACAGGTTGCCTCCCCTTCACTTCTTGCCGATGTAGACATTTTAAACACAAATCCACAGAGGGCCTGGACAGTTAATAAAAAGCAAGCTACCAGCTTTAGTTGTGTCAGAATCTCTACCAGACCCCAAAGCTAACTTCCTTTCATAACACAAGTGTTAAGGCCTGACAAACTCAAATTTCACAATTTGCAAAGATCATAAAATGAAACTAAGTTAAATAATTTATAAGGCGTTCTGCCCTTTGTCTTGCTGGAACAAATGCTTCAGGAGCTTTTGACTGGAGAAATGCAATCGTCATTAAGAATGAGTATGAAACCTAACCCTAACCCTAACCCCTTACTCAATCTCCATTACCAAACCCAGCCCTAAAATGTTCAGAGGGTGAAAGAAAGATGTCTATAAATGACATGATAATGATCATGAAAACCCTCCAGAGGCCTCCTGAGGAACAGAAAATGTTCTCAGTCACTGGCCACTTGTAAACCTTTGCCTTCCATTTCTCTTCATTAATAGGTCTATAGTTGCATATTTTTGAGTTATTGGATTGTGTATTTGTCTTTAGAAACTCTTCTGGAACTCATGATCCTGTTTTACACTAAATGGACTGCTTCAATTGGGCCTAACAGTTCAAGTGTTTAAAAAACACTTTTTTTTTTTTTTTTTTTTTTTTTGTCTTTTTGAGACAGGGTCGTATGCTTTCAAACACAGCTGTTTCCTAAAGTCTTTCAGTCAGGTTTTTTTCATATCCATTACTCAACATGTTGCAAAAAGATGAAACCTCGAGCTTGTTTTCCTTTTGTTAGAATTTGTACTGTCAGTCACCACAGTTCCTTCAAAGGTTTCAGTCATCTAATAACGTCCCTACTGCCTGTCAGCTCTCTTGGGGAAAGGAGGGTGTCGAAAGGACATTTTCCTAAAGCAATATATCTGTTGCTTGACCAATGTAGCATTTAACTTCACTTAAACAATTCTGTTTTTCCCAGAGGTAACAAATTTGTGGAAACACAGTTTGATGAGCTTCAGATTTAATACTATGGGATGACAAGTGGGCTTTTTTTTTTTTCATGTCTTTGTATTTCCATCATTTCCTCTTTATCTTTCATGTAGTTCCCAAACAAGACTCACCCAGATTCCATGAATAAAAATATTTTAAAGGACAAAAGATAAAGTAAATTAATGGAGAGATACTTACTGTTTGAACAATGAAGAGGATAGTACCACACAGACGAATGTATCTGTTAAATCGAAGTTCTAAATACTGTTGCCAAAAAAGGAAAAAGAGTTATGTGAGAATCTTCTGGACACTTTTTAAAAACTCAACATCTTAAGAAATAAAAGATTAGGAATGTAAAGGAGCTTCGTAACTTATTTGCATTCTGTATTTTCATTTTACTATGATTTTTATTAATACGTGGTAGAATTGATGCTTTAGAGTACAATGCAATGACTTTTAACACAGAAAGATTTGTTTAATCCTTATCACAATCAGTACACAAAAACACCTTCATGCTGCCTCTATCAATCACCAATCTGTTCTTCGTACCTAATCTGAACTGGAAAGATTGAAAAAAATCAATACATAAATAGAATTATATTCTACTTTTTAAAAAATACTAAACAATGCTGGGGCTATAGAGATGGCTCAGTGGTTAAGAGCACTGGCTGCTCTTGCAGAAGACCTGGGTTTGAATTCCAGTACACACATGGTGGCTAACAATCATCCATAACTCCAGTTCCATGAAATTCGACTCCCTCTTCTGTCCTCTGTGGGCACTGCAAGACATGCAGGCAATACACTCATACACACACACACACACACACACACACACACACACACACACACACAAATAAATAGATAGATTAGATAAAAAAATAAATTAGAATAAACAGTGTAGGCCAAGTGTGATGGCACACACCTTTAATTCTAGCACTTCGGAGGCAGAGACAGGTAGATCTCTCTGAGTTTGAGGCCAGCCTAGTTTATATAGTGAGTACTGGGCCTGTAGTGAGTGTGAGCCTGTCTCAAAAAAAAAAAAAAAAGCAAACAAACAAAAACTATTGTTTCTTTCCTTCTTTTGGTAACCACTCTACATTTCCTTATTTCCTTTGATTCACTTGAGTAATCAACCTTTTCCTATTTCAGTGAATTGTGGTGAACTATACAACAGATGCTCTGCTTCTCCTGAGCAAGAGGAAATCACATGACCCCTGTATAGCCAATGACTTTTTCTTCCCAATGGATGCTACAAAGACAGAAAGGGCTGGTCCAGAGCCCAGACTGATCCTGACAGGGGAAACTAAAGAAACTACCCCAACTTTGTTGCCACTTGCTGCTTGCTTGGCTCTTCATGCTATTCTGTAAACTATCCTTATGTATTATCATTGGATCCTCTCTAAAATTTTGCAAAACAAAAAAAGAGAGAAAGAAATACAGCTATGATTCTCATTTTAGAGATAAGGAACCTGAGATTTGGAGAGCGATGGTCTGAAGCTCATGAGTCAGACATGGGGTTAGCCAGGGGCTGAAACTCTGCTGAAATTGTCTTGTATTGTGCTGGGTGTTTGTCACTCATCAGTCATTTTTGAAGGCCTTCTGGTCAGTGCTTCTACTTACTTATTGAGTCTTAAACTCGTGGTCAATTATTTACTTATTAATGTGGTTATATACATGGATTCTAGCATCAAAGGTTCCAAATTTGTGTCACAGCCCTGAATATAATTGTGTTATAAACTTGGTGTACTCTGAGCCCCAGTGTCCTCATCTCTAACATGGCTTATACATAGCACCTGCTTCACCCAGTTGTTGGGCGTAAAATGCATACAAGTGTACCAGATGTGTTTGTTGCGACTATGGAGCAAATATACTCAGAGGTATTTCCATCTGACTATTAGCTAATGCCAGTTTCTTTTCTCCTTCTCCTTCTCCTCCTCCTCCTGTTAGCCCTTCTACATGAAGTCCTGTTGACTTCTTTCTACATGGACTAATAATACTCAAGTTAAAGAATATCTTAGACTCTGAAATTCTGATTCTAACTGTGTAATATATTATATATTATACAACATAGGAAATAAACAGACCATATTATATGATACAGTAGATTTCAAGGAGAGTTGGGAAAATTGGCAGGGTCTTGGCTCTGAACAGAAGCTGACTTTACCCTCAGGAGACTGAGGCAGAAAGGTGGGGAATTCGCAGCCAAATGCAAGATGTTATGAAATTAATGGGAAAAAGAAATTAGCGGAATCCAAATCCATGGGCCTTGCAAATTGCATGTATCAAAATTATGTAAAGATATTTTGAAACACATTTTGGAGAAGGTTTTGAAAACTGGAAACAGGATAGTGTTGTTTTTGAAGAATCTTTAGTAAATTTATACCACCTATGAGTGGAAAAGAATTAAGAAAGGAATCTTTTGCCTTTTCTAGGTCCATGTATTGGAAAACAAACAAAACTTAAGAGACTATGGCAGAAGTAAGAATGCAGCAAGATGAACCAAATAATTTGAAATTTTTTACGTTTGTATATGTGCATGTATGTATGTATATTATTGTCCCAAATATCAACTAATTAATATGTTTAAGCTTACACAAAACCAACTGAAGACAGAGCTAACAGTCTGTCACTGTCAGCCATTGGTCCTTTACTAGAAATTAGAAGAAACAGCTGCGGACCTATCCAGAAACCCTAATCACTGTACAGTAGGCTTCAAAAACAGATCTATCATTTCCAAACAAAACTACAGAATAATGATAGGTTCCTGCAGTGAACTGAGTGTTTCATAGTCCTCAGAACTCAGAATAACTTAGAGACACTAAGACTTCAGTTGATACACAGTAACCAAAAAGTGGAAAAAAAAATAGAGCCTAAGTGACTCAGCACAACCCACAGTTTAGTCAGATGCAGAAAAATCCCAAAGAAACAATGTTATATTGGACTCCTGCAATAGATTTCCTGCCATTCTGTGGGTCTGGAGGTTGTTAAAATACTGAGCAGACCTAATTTTGACAGCAGTGATAGAGAGTAAAAATGTTTGTGGACAACCAAATTGAGCTACAGAAATACCAATATAGAGATAGTTCATATTAGAGCAAGGGTGACCAACACTCAGTGTTGTAGTATACATTCTGTGTAGGTGTCTCCACCTTACAGTACAAAGCAACAAAATATTCCCCTAAAAGCCTGTGCCATGACTGAGTTGACAGAGGCACAGCATACTGACTAACTTGTCTGTTCCTGGCTTCTTGACACCCCTAACTGTGGACACCCACAGAGTGCTTATAAGTTTATGGGTCCTTACTACCTCCTTGATTCTATCTGCACTGGCATAAACCCTGCTTAAGGTTATAAATCGACTCACCAAAGCCTTCAAAAGCAGCCAATAAGCTGCTCGCCATGTGATAGTATTACTTCACACTCTCTTAGCTTAGCTTACACCAAGCCTTTTCATCTGAAAAATAGGGTTCTGATGATACAAGAATTAGTTGAGTGTTGAGTCAGATAATATGTATAAAACATGCAGTCTGGGGCCCAGCATTTGTTAAGCATTCAATCAATGTTAACTTTTTGCCATTTTTAGCTGGAATCCTTGCTAACTTAGCTTCTATCACTAGAAACATGCAAGAAGTCCGTTTCTGGTTGAGTTAATGTCCTGGTCCTGAAGAGGCATGGGTCAGTGGTTATGACAGCAACATTCCCCTGGCAGGGCTAGAGTCTTCTTGACAGATTATTCAAACCCTTTGTAAGTTTTGGAGTTGATTAACTACATAGGCCAGAGCCCACAGACTTCAATGCTTGCGTATCCCACCTGGTAATGCACATGAATGGCAGTGCTGGAACATTCTTCACACCCACTAAGAAATCTGTTCTCTCTTAACACCCAGTGAGCAAGCACTCCCTTCCGTGCTGTTTATTCTCCATGTGCATTTTTTACAAAGACATAAATGTATATAGTGATTCTTCTACCATAAGAAAGTAACTGCAGCCATGAAAAGCCTCAGTATAGAAATTAATAAAGTGAAAGCAATGACTGCTTCCTGGAGTCCCTGTGGCCATAGCAGTGGTAGCCAAATTTGGCTCAGGCCAGTCACTTTCTCACCTCCCAGAAAACAAAACAAAACAAAACAAAACATAAATTCCTTTCTGCTCACAACTTGGGTGATGACTGAATTCTTCCAAGCACTGTCCAGAGTGGATGACAATGCAGTCTCAGGCGTGCCTTGCCCTGGATGGCATCACTGGAGCCTCAGAAGACTTTGCCACCAATGCCTGCTATGCCCTTCAAGACCTGTGCCCTGTACAAGCTGAACCAGCCACAATAGGAAACCACCATCTAGTGACCCTGGGCTTGACAGAAACAGGATATAAACTCCAGGACTGGCAGCCTGCCTCTGGTTAACAGTCTAGTAGAATAGAAGCTTGTCATGGTGCTCATGGGTCAGAGCCTGGGTGAAGGAGACCACCAAGGATGCTGTTTTCTATGGGGCACACACACACACACACACACACACACACAATCAGCTCTTTAAACTGAATAGAATATTCATCATCTTCACATACATCCAGAGAAACTCTCCAACAGATGAAACATAGTTTTCGTACAAGAGAGTCAGCAGAGAGGTTTAGGAACCTTGCTGACCAATTTTCCTAGTGAGCCCAAGCTAACTGCTCCCCATAATAGTTAAGCCCAGCACTTCTACAGCATTCACTCTGTGCTAGACTCTATCCTAAGTTGTAACACTTGCATCTTCTCATTTAATTCTCTCCACAACCAGATGATGTAGGCAGCACTGTTTTCTTTCTGAGATGAAGATATCCACACCAAAGGTTAATTAAATAAGTAGACCTAGGTCATCCAACTAGCAAGTGATAGAATCTGGTCTTAGGGCAAGTTCTGGGACAAGAGCTCCATCATCTTAACAACTTGGATGCCTGCCTCTGGTAGGAAAGGGTAGACAAATTCAGAAGAACCATTTCTTCAGAAGAGCTGAGGAGGTTGGAATGTCTTTACACACACAATAAGAGAGAAGAGAGAGAGAGAGAGAGAGAGAGAGAGAGAGAGAGAGAGAGAGAGAGAAATTTAAAGTTTAAAATCTTTCACTGGGCATCTAAGATGTTAAACTTAGAAAAGATCTTAGAGAGGACTAGTCCAATCCACTGCATTTGCTTTGGAACTGAGTTTAGAAAACTCAAGCCCAAAGTTTTATTCTTCTTAGAAAACACATGTTTCCCAAAAGGATGGGACTCAGTGATGCACCCATTAAGAGGGATTCCCATATTACAATAACAACTTGCCCCTAGAAAGCTCCTGAACACACACACACACACACACACACACACACACACACACACACCACCCCTTTACCTCGTAGGTGCTCGTGATCCCCAGCCTATAGAACACGGGGACGAAGACTTCCGCACTGATGACCACCACAAAGAAGTAGGTGATACCAAAGATGCTGAACATGGCCCCAAAACGGTAGACCTCAGCAGGGGTACCCAGGACGGTGACAGCTGACATGAAGCTGGCGGTGAGGGACAGCGCCACGGGCACGGCGGTCATGCTGCGGCCACCCATCAGGAAGTCCTTGGAGGTCTGCTGGCCGCCCCCAGCGAAGGCATAATAGATGCCGATGACGGCCGAGATGAGCAGCATGCCGGCGAACACCACGTAGTCCCACACCACGAAGTTGCCGAGGACCCGCGGCGCATCCATGGCTGCGTGGTGGCCCCGGCGCTGGCTTCTTTCTCCCAGCTGGTGCGGGCGGGCAGGGCGTCCTGAGATCAGGAGCCTCCTGCAGGTGTCAATCAATCTCCGTCAAAGTCTGAGCCCCCAGGCACCCGCTGCCAGTCGCCGACGTGCCCCCCACCGCCAGCTGCGCCCCTCACGGTCTAGGACTGAGCGGAGTCCGAGGCACTGAGCGCTCACCAGGTGCAGGACCGGGAGGGCAGGACTGTGGCGGTGGCACCTGTAACACCCGGGCGAAGGAGACCTGCAACCTCCTGCCGCGTCCAGCAAATCCACAGCGAGAGCTCAACGCTGATTTTATTGACAGCCGCAGGGACGCACCATTTAAATAGGCAGGTGATGGGTGGGGGTCGAAGTGCAATCGTCACGCTTTTAAGCTTAGCTTTCCAGTTCAACAGTCCAGGTTCTTGCTGAAGGTGTGCCTGAGTGTGAGGCTCATCATCACTTGACAGGTTAATGGGTGATGATGGGAGTGACAACCGCGGTGAGCTGAGATCACAGCACTTTAGGTGAGCGATTACGAAGACAGGGAAGGCTGAGCTGTGGATTGCCTGCGTTTTCCTTCAACAAACATTTCTGATCCCCTATAGTCTGTCTGACCCCCACTTTGACAGTCCGTGAATGATAGCTGCTATCCTCTTACTAATACCTCTGTTTAATGAGATTTAAGATGAAAAACAGGTATACTTGATGCCTTTTTTCATTAACTAGTGTAATTCTTACTGTTATCCTTAAGGTAGGAATTATCTGCATTTTTCAAAATGAGGAAAGGGAGGTGAAGTCATCAGGTATGGGGGCACATGCCTATAATTCTAGCACTTGGGAGGTGGAGGCAGGAGGATCAGGAGTTCGAGGTCATCCTCAGTTACATAGCAAGTTCAAGGTCAGCCTGAGTTGCATGATGTCCTAGAAAGAGAAAGGGAGGGATGGAGGGACAGAGGGATGGAGGGAGAGAGAGACAGACAGACAGAGACAGAGAGACAGAGAGAGAGACTTGCCCAAGGAAATGAAAGAGATAAAGATTTGCTTTATCCAGGTCATACATTAAAAGTGAACATGAATGTGTGCACTTAAATGAAGACGTTCAAAAGAATATAGAAGAAAAGATCAATTCTGATATCAGCACTCAGGACACATTTTAAGTAACTTGCTTTGAAATATTACTAACAATATATGTGACATACTCATAAAGTAATGCAAATCTCCAAGTCCCCTTTTAAATAGACTTTCCAGCCAAGTGTGCCCAGTCTTTCACGATTTCAGACTATCCCAGCTCACTTCATACATCCTATGACTTACCAGTTAATCTGCAGCAAGCAATCATTGCGTGCCTTCAGCCAGCCCAGCATGAAAGAAGCTATCAGATTTTGCTTTCTATCAACTGGCATTATGTGCACATCGTCTGTTTAAACAAATATGTAGGTTGGGACTATGTTCCATCTGTGTGATATTCACTATATCTATATATTATATACACTTTTTTATTGTGTGTATATCTCAATCTGCAAACATATCACACAGAGGAATCCATCTTAATCCTTCAAGGAATTGAATCTACTTCTGAAAATGTCTATAAAGCCAACATCCCTGGGTATAAGAGAACATATTTAAACAAAACTCTTTCTTTTTTTGACACTTAGTGTTAAGGAAAAAAACCCTCAGGCAACTAATGGTAATACATCAAAAACCATTTAAAGGCTAGACTAGCTTAAGCTTGTAGACTCTGAAATTAGGCATCCTGACTGCTACTGATTAGCCATATCATGGGTAAGTGCTTACTTCTATGTCTTAATTTCCCCCATCTGAAATAGAGATAGTAAACCTTTGGGCTTTTTAAAAAAACTTATTTATTTATTTATTCTATACCTGTATATGTGATCATCCACATGCCACAGCAAGCTTGTGGAGGTCAGAGGACAGCTTGTGGGAGTTGGTTTTCTCCTTCATCATGTGAGTCCCTGGGATTAAACTCAGGTTATCAGACTTGGCAGCAAACACCTTTACCAATTAGGCCATCTTGCTGGTCCCAGTAAATAGTGATTTTTATCTCCCAGATGTTGAGGGTTAAATGAGATGATATGTGAATAGCTGCTGACACTGCTAAGTCCTGGCACTGTGTAAACGTTTAGTTGCTTTCTAACTTACTGAAAATGAACTGCTATAAAAGTTCTTCTGTTAGAAACAGTTTTCTTTCCTTAGTTTTCTCTATTTGCTTTAGAACATTCATGTAATGCTGTGGACGCTGTATAATCCATTCTTTGTTCTTTCACATCTCTTGTGTGTCCTGGTGGACATCTTCAAACAATATTTTCAAAAAGAATATGTAACTGCCCTATTTTGAACCCTTAAACACATAAGGTCATCGTCTGTTATGAAACACAATCTCTTTTTCCTTCATAAATTTGCAATTGTCTATCTGTTGTCTTCAGATATTTCTTTTTGGAGAGTTATCTGAGGTCAGCCAGATTTCTGTTTCCCTTCTTGGCCTTTTTGAGACAGGATCTCCCTGTAGTGGGGCTGGCCTGGAACTCACTATGTAGACCAGACTGGCCTTGAACTCACAGAGATTCGCCTGCCTCTGCCTCCTGAATGCTGGGAATAAAGGCGTGTGCCAACCATGCCTGGCCCATCAGGAGCTTATCTTATGGCTGAATGCTCCAGACTTGTATTTCCAAACATCCAGAAATTCCCAGAATAGTACACTTGCCATTACTATCAAGTGGTTCCTTCAATATGAATGTTTTTATTTATTTGCTTATTTATTTTATGTGTATGAGTGTTTTGCCTGCATGTATGTAAGTGGACCTGTACATGCAATGACTGTGGAGGCCAGAAGAGGGTGTAAGATACCCTGGAACCTGAGTCGAAGAGAGTTGCTAGCTGCCATGTGGGTGCTGAGAACTAAGCCTGAGTCCTCTGCAAGAATAGCCAGTGCTTTTAACTGATGAGGCATCTTTGCAGTCCCAATAATCATAATTTGAAGTTGAAACTTTAAGGGATGGAGAGATGGATGACTCAGGAGATAAGAGGGTTGCTACTCTTACAGAGGACCTGAGTTCAGTTCCCAGCACCCATGATAGGCAGCTCACAATTACCTGTAATTAGAGATTCAGGGGATTCAATGCCCTCTTCTGGCCTCTTGAGAGCATCAATACATACATGTGTATACACACACTCAGACACACACATACAAATAAATAAAAATAAAAGTAATATTGAAATTAAAACGTCAATTATTGTTGCTGTTCCAACTGTTCCAGCACCAATAAAGCTTCAATAAAGCTGTTTAGCCATTTATATTTTTCATTTTAATCTTTTTTTCCCCTTTTAACCTAGATATCCTGAGTTTGTCTTTTCCAGCATCAACTCCAGTGTCTGCAAAGGTATCATATACTTTACTGACCTCAATGTATATTCTACCTCTGCTTCTACATTTTAAATATTTTCAATTATTATTTTTACGTGTATGTGTATTGCCTGCATGTAAGTGCACCTATGTCATGCAATGCCCATGGAGGACAGAAGAGGCTGTCAGATCCCTTGGAACTGGAGTTATCGACAAGTTGTTAGCTGCCATGTGGGTGCTGGGATTCAAACCTGAGTCTTCTGCAAGAACAGCCAGTGTTCTTACCCACTGAGCCATCTCTCCAGCCCATGTTTCTACATTTTAATATAAGTGAAACTCTAATATGATCATTTTGAAGCTTTCCAACTTTAGAATGCCAAAGAATTTTCTTAATTTTTTAAATCTCAGGAGTAACTTACTGTGCTTTGAATTTTCTTGAATCTTTGAAAGTATTCTCATTTTTGCACCTTTGTTTTTTTCGTAGAACATCCATTATTTTTTTCTAGTAACCATCATGCACAAGACCTGTGCAAGCCCAAACTAGACCAAAACCCAGCTTGGATTGGGGAAGGAGTAGGCAAGGAACCTCAGTCCTAGCCAAGGATCTACTGGCAAATGATAGCATCTGAAGGAGGGAGAATCAGTTTTCTTTAAGGGTGTGATGCCTCGTAAGTTGACGAGGCTCCAGGGGATGGACCCAAACCCAAGAGCATTTGGAGAACACAAATCAGACTCCGTGGGCCTTCAAAAAAATTACAAAATGGGACATGAAGTTGGAGTTAGGGGAAATAAGGTGAGGGTGGAGATAGGGGAGAGGGTCTGAATATGATCAAGATACGTTGTATGAAATTCCCAAAGAATCAATTTTTTAAATGGCCTTATAAAGCAATAGACAAAAGAAGACATTAGCCATCAGGTCTTCTTCAGGGATGGTTTATGTTGAACTGTGTTTTTTTCCTTTGTGTAGACCATACTTTCCTGCTTCTTTTTATGACTAGTGGTTTTGATGTTGATAATGGTGGTGACTAAGCTGGATACTGATATCTAAAAATGCAAAACTCAGGAAATTAGAATCTTCCCATTCCTCAGGAGTTGCTGAGTTTTGTGATGGTGGTGGTTATTATTATAGTTATTATGATAATGTTTTTAAATTAATGTAGGCTATCTTTGTGCCAAGCATCAGCCAAGGCATAAATTTAAGTGTTTTTCAGGACTTTCTGAGCCTACAGTTGTTCCCAGGGATGCAGTTCTTTTTAAATGTCCTAAACTTTATCTGGCACCAAAAGGGGTAAAAAGAAAAAAATGAAGGTAGAAGGGGTGTTCCAGTCCTTTAAATTCTCTGGAAGTTACTTTAGCTGGAAGAGGAGAGGTTTTCAGTAACCTGAGAAGGTTAAACAACATTGGCTTCTGGCCTCTTTGTGCTTCTGAGTTCAGAAGCAGCCATCCGAGCACTAAACTTCAATATTTGGAAGACTGAGTTCACTTTGCCCACTCTGGCTCCCACGAACTGTGCAAAACATTCTGAAGAACCATGCATATCTTGAAATATGATCTACTTTATGAAAAAAAACAATTTTTACTGGTTTTAGGAACACAGTTGACATGTAGTTTAAAGCCAAAGCTCATTATGATGACAATA